GGATTTGAACCCAGACCACCTCATTCCAAAAACCTTAATTCTTTCCAATACACCACTCTTGCCTCTTCTTTTGTTGATGTAGATTTGGACTAACTGGCTGACTGAGGAGTCGATAAAGCCCGAGTTTACATTCTAGCTCTTCCACTTGAAGCCTATGTAATAGGTACAGGGCAGCTAGGTGGTTCAGTGGACAGAGTGCTGGGCCTGGAATCAAGAAGACCCAAGTTCAAATCCAACCTCAGACACTTCCTAGCTGTGTGAACCTGGGCAAATCACTTAACCCTGTTTGCCTCAGTTCCTCATCTGTAAAATGAGCTGGAGAAGAAAATGGCAAACTACTCCAGCATCTTTGCCAAGAAAACCCTGAATGGGGTCATGAGGAATCAGACAGGACTGAAACAACTGAACAACAACAATGAAACTTGGGTAAGTCCTTTAATTTCCCCGAGCCTCAGTTTCTTAATCTGTAGAATGATGGTATTGGGCTAAATGACTTCTAGGGTCCTTTTCAGTTTTAAATCTATGCTCTTATGATGATGGATAGAGTTCTGCCTGTGAGACCTCCCATTCTTAGAATCATTCCCAAAGTTTCATCTCTAAAAATGCAGCCCAAGTATGTATTTTAATGGGAACGATCCAGAGGGAAGAGGATTCCAGTTCCTTGGTGGCTTCAAGGATATGAGAAGTCCTGAGTCATTCCCACAAGCCCCCTCCTTCCTTCAGCAAAACAAATGACCAGTTGAAAAGTGAAAAAAAAATCTGTCCAACTGGTAGGTTGGTATTGTGTAGATAGAAGTAATGGATTCGGGGCTGAAATCAACAAATGGGTGTTTTCATCAGCTAAACTGAGTCACACCAATTTGTATGGACACACTCAGCCTAGGAGATGGTGCTTCCAGCTGAGGCCAGATGTCCCCAAGGGTTGCAGGAGGCACCCACAGTCAACAGCTCCTGTGGCAGCCTGCTTTGTTCAATCATTGTCAAATCAAGTCAAGCTAATAAGCACTTATTAGGCACTTACCATTTGCCAGGCACTTTGTTAAGTATTGGGCTTACAGAGAAAGGGACAGACAGTCCCTGTCCCAGGGTCTGTGCTAGACCCTGGGCTACTTTGTATCTGTACAGCTGCGTTGGTTAAAGGAATAGGCGATGTATATCCAATTCGTAGGGTCGTAAGTTCAGTGTTGGAAGGGACGTCAGGGCTTGTCTAATCCAGTCTGTCATTTTCTGATAAGACACTCAGCTGACACCCAAGCGCAGGGGCCATACAGGGGACATCACACAAGAAAGGCCGATGTGGTATTAAGATGGTGTGTGGTTTTACGAAGGAGGAGGGTGACCCTGAGAAGGTGGGGGGGGCTAGGACACAGGGTCATAGAAGGAGATCTGGAAAGGACCTTAGAGGTTGTCTGGTCTGAATCCTTCACCTTACAGACAGGACACTGAGGACACCTCAGAGAGGTGAAGCCACTTGTCCATAGCCGCAAAGCTAGGGCCCGTTGGAAGTGGGATTTGAAGAGAATGAGATAGATGGTGTCATGGAAACAGTAAGCATGAACTCGGCCAGACTTCGGGAGACAGTGGAAGATAGAAGGGTCTGGTGTGCTGTGGTTCGTGGGGTCGAGAAGAGTCAGACATTACTGAAGGACTGAACCACCACCACCACCTCTGATTCCAGAGCTAATGCTCTTTCCAGTTTTGCCTGAGGATAAACCCTAAATAAGAGTCCTGTAATTCCCTTGAGGGCAGAGATGTGTCTTATGCTTGGATAAGAGTGGAAAGAAAATTGGCTCAGGAGTCCAAGGGCCTGGGTTCGAACCCCTTCTTTGTCACCATTTGGGTGACCATGGGCAAATGTTGAAGAAATGCAATCTCTAACGCCTTGTGTTTAGAATCAGATGCATCAGATCGCCCTTGATTCATTTATAAGGACTCTGCAGGGACAGTTTCTCAGGCCATGGCCTAGAACTGAAAAACAAGCTACATCTTATATACTATACTAATTATTCGGGACTGTTATTTTGTGTTCTATACGTGTGTGTGGAATGTGAGAGGAGATAGGAATGCCAGTTATCTCGAGGACCTTGGTCAGAACAAGACCTAACAAACACCTTATCTCAAGGATCCTCAGCTGTGCAACCTTAACTGTTGCAACCTCTAAACAAACAGCCTTAGTTTTTGTTGATACAGGGCCTTGTACAAAGAGATTCTGAGGTTCCTCCCACTGGGGCACAGGCTGTTGAGTACAGCTTTAGCTTCTGAGGTCTGGAGTCTATTCAGTTTGCTGACACACATGTCACCACTTCCAGGAACTTTAATTTCTTCACCTGTAAAATGGGCATAAAAATACATATGGCACCTGCCTTCCATGGCCAATGTGAGTATTAAATAATATATATGTAATAGGGCTCCATTCTCAGAGGATGGGTGAGGGGCCCTGCCTGCTGCCAACCCGTGTGGGAGGGGCTGGGGAGCCTGTTAATGTGAGATGGGAAGATGCTGTTCCCCAATCTGGTGTGAGTAAAGCCATTCTGTAACTAGTTCTGGTTGGTTAATCTTGTGGTTAGCCAAGAGATGGACTGTTGACTGGCTTTTTAAATGAAACTGGAGTCCATTCAAAAGGTTAGATTAGGCCTGAGGCTCTTTGTCTTCCTTGTGGCTGAGTTCAAATGAGGAGGCAAGGACCGCTGTAGGCACTCTTCTGAAGGCTCTGTCCCCAGGAGAGAGAGGCTTCACACTCTATCTCCTCCCCAGGGCTGTTACTATGTAGGACTTGAATTCATGGCCCTCCTGTTACTTCAGTCTGTTGTGTCTATCCTCCTTGTTTGGGGGTAAAGGAGTATTGGAGATGGCCATGACCTTGTGATATTTGGAAGGTCAGAATAGCAGGTGTCAGAAGTCCAGGAGGTGGAGTCTGTGTTGGGATTTGGGAGGGATCCAGCATGACTGAAGTAGAAGGTGATATTCTGGAGAGCAACCTGTTTGACCCAGCCAGTGGTAGCAGAGATTTGGAAAGGAAGAAGAAAAGAAGCATTTATTAAACACCTACTATGTTCTAGAGGTAGAGACTTAGCTTCAGTCATGCTCAGTCTCCCCCAACTCTAGTTCATCTTTCTCTCAGCTGCCAAAGTGACTTTCCTGAAGGTCAGGTCTAACCATGTCACTCCCCTACTCAATGAGCTTCAGTAGCTTTCTATTACCTCTAGGATCAAATAGAATTCTTCAGTTCAAGCTTTGACAGACTTAAGAACTCTGATCAAAGTAATACCCAGGTCTCTAGAGGACTGATGATGAAGCATGTCACCTGTTTCCTGACAGAGAAATGATGGGCTCAGGGTACAGAAAGAGACATATATTTTGGAATATGGCCAGTATAAGAATTTGTTTTACCTGATCATGCATGCTTTTTGCAAAAGTATTGCCTTCCTTCCATTCTTTCTTTCATCCTTCCTCTCTTGTTTTTCTTGTTCCCTCTCTTTCCTCAGGTCACACATCTAGTAAGTATCTGAAGCCAGATTTGAACTCAGATCCTCCTGACTTCAGGGCTGTTGCTCTAGGCACTGCACCACTTAGCTCCCTTCCTTCCTTCCTTCCTTCCTTCCTTCCTTCCTTCCTTCCTTCCTTCCTTCCTTCCTTCCTTCCTTCCTTCCTTCCTTCCTTCCCTCCTCCCCCTCCTCCTCCTCTTCCTTCTCTCTCTCTTCTATTAGGAGTGGTGGTAAAGAGTGGTTGACAATAGAGTTGTCTTCTCCCCCCTCCCCACCCAAAAAAAAGAAAAGAGTTTCATTAAAGCATTTTTTTTAAAGGGCTCAGAAGAGAACAGAAGGAAGGCCAGAAGGAATCACAGACAAGCAGGACAGCTTTTGAAATTACATGTTGAATTTATTACATACTTAAAAGGAAAAGCAAACTGTAAGTAATAGAGATTTGAGGTTTCGTGTACAAAACTTCCAAATTATAAATTCTTCTGTTTGGCATTCAAACCCCTTTACAACTGGCTCCACCCAACTTGTCTGGTCTGATCACACATTCTTCCCTTTATGCACAGTACTGTCCTCTAAATTGGCTTTTTTTTCCCTTCTATTCCTTATGCATGAAGATCCATCTTCCATCTGTGTACCTTGGTATTGGCTGTCCCCTATGCCTGTGATGCCCTCCTTCATCACCTTCATCTTTTAGAATCCTGTTTTCTTTAAAGCTCAGCATGAATACAGCCTTTTCTAATTGCCCAGTTGTTAGTGATTTCTAGCCTCCCACATAGTCGGTGAGTTAACTGTCATTTATTAAATGTCTACTACTTGTCAGGCATAGTGCCTAAGCACTGGAAAAGCACAAAGGCTTAAAAACCCCCAAACAAACAAACTAGTTTCTGCTCTCAAGGAGTTCATAGTCGAATGAGGGAGATAGCATGGAGGTAACTATGTGGTGGTGGTTGTCTTTGTTCTCAAAGAGGACCAAAATGATACTCTGTCAGTGTAAAATTTCAGGGTGCCTGACTGTGGCTGATCAGACCAATATGAGCCCGAAATGTTCTACCACAGGTAGGGCGCAGAGAGTCCACGTGAACATTTGAGGTGGATCTGCACATCTCATGTTTCTCTTGAGACACTTCAATTCTGCTTTGCTCATAGAGCACAGCTCCTTCTCTGATGAGGGCATGCCATGTTGGGCAGTCCTGTGCCAGTGTCTAAAATAGTCTCTTAGACAAGTGTACGTTTGATGTTTGAACAATATGGCCAGCCTATTGGAGTTGCACTCTCTGGTGTAGTTTGAATGCTTGGCAGTTTAGTTCGAGAAAGGACCTCAGTGTCTGGTACCTTATACTGCCAGGTGATCTTCAGAATCTTCCTAAGACAATTCAAGTGGAAGCGTTTCAGTTTCCTGGCATGGCGGTGGCATACTGTCCAGGTTTCACAGGCATACAACGGTGAGGTCAGCACAACGGCTCTGTAGACTTTCAGTTTGGTAGTCAGTCTAGTACTTCTTCTCTCCCACAGTTTCCTTGAGCCTCCCAAACACAGAGCTAACTCTGGCAATGCATGGGTCAACCTCATTGTCAATGTGTGCATCCCTGGAAAGTACATTACAAAGGTAAGTAAACTTATCCACAGCATTCAGAACTTCTCCTTTTGCTGTAACCGATGGTTCCACACATGGATGGTGTGGTGTTGGCTGGTGGAGCACGTGTATTTTCTCGGTGTTAATTGTTAGGCCAAACTTAGCATAAGCAATAGAGAATTGATCCATACTTTGCTGCATCTCAGCTTCAGAGGCTGCATCGAGGGCACAATCATCTGCAAACAGAAAAATCATGCACCAAATCTCCCTCCCCTTTAATCTTGGTTTATAGTCTTTTTAAGTTAAATAATTTACCATCAGTGCAGTAGCTGACTGATGCTGTGCTCATCCTTATTGAAGGCATCCGATAACATGGCTGAAAACATCATGCTAAAAAACATGGGAGCAAGCACAGAGCCTTGTTTCACTCCCTCGGTGACTGGGAAAGCTTGAGAGCATTGTCCATTATCCAGAACTTGGACAAGCATGCCATCGTGAAATTGACATATAATACTTACAAGCTTCTCTGGGCAACTAAACTTTGGCACAATTTTCTATAAGCCCTCACAACTGACAACATCAGACACCTCTGTCAGACATACAGACGTTGTGTACAGACCTCTGTTTTGCTCCTGGCATTTCTCTTGGAGTCGTTGGGCAGCAAACACCATATCGACCATTCCTCATCCCTTTCTGAAGCCACACTGAGGTAGATGACCTCTTCCAGGTGAAGGATCAGCCTATTAAGGAGGACTAAGAGAGAGGACTCCCCCCCCCCCATGATTGTCACAGGACAATCTATTTCCTTTACCTTTATAGAGAGGGACAATGGAGGCATCCCTGAACTCCTGGGGGAGTAAGCTGGTCTTCATTGGCCAGCCTTATTTCACTCAGGGCTGCTATTTGGATGCCATACCTGCTGAGTTCTCTTGCAACAAGAGCTGTTCATCTTTTAGGTCTACTGGATTTTGTGCCTTCCAGAAGTGTGTGCACATACCTTGTACTGCTGGTGAGTGGAATCATCTTTGCAGAAGTTTTTGTACTTTTTCGGTGTTTTTTTGCCCACAGGGTGGGATTCCCCACCTGCCATGGTAAACAGGCCAGGAGTGGGTAAGCAGACAGTTTTTAAGGCACCTTTTCTATCCCCTTTGTCACAGCAGGCGACCGGTGCTCAGACACCCAGGGGGCTGCCAAATCCCATTGTCACTCCCAGTGAGAAGACAGCCCTATGGCCTGGGCCACTTTGTGCCAGGTTGTAACTATAGCTCCCAGTGTGTCTACACCTGCTGCTTTGTCACTTGCCAGTCACCACAGGACTTTGAGATAGGTAAAAATGGTAAAATGGTATGAGTGATGTCTTTTGATTTGTCATAAATTGGATTTAAGTGAGGCAGAGTTGCATGAAGCCATCAGCCTCACTCTATCTTCCAGAGTCATCACAGTCCAGTGGCAGGACAGTGTCAAGATGACTGGTGATGGTAGTGGATGACCTTGGCGTCTTTGATGTCTAACCAAACTCTAAGTGCTCCATGGCAACTGCTTCAGCTGCCTTCATGGCTGTTGGAACAAATTGTTCTCATCCACCCATTCCACCAGGGGAAGTCTTCACATACTTGGAGGAGACACCCCCCCCAACTCACTAAGCGGTTTGAGACCCCTCTTTTATTCTCAATCTGGTTTAGCCCATCTGCTGAAACAGTTTACTGGGGGGTGGCCATTGCATATGTGATGACTTCTTAGAGCCACAGGTGAAAGCTAGGTGGATCAGTTGGACACCAAAGGTGGAAAGCAGCCCTGAAAAGGGCCCAGGAGCCCTCACACTAGAGGTATTAGTCTTCCTTGGACATACCCTACCCCCGAGGCTAACTATGCACAAACAAGATATATACAGCATGAATGGGGGCAGTCTCAGAAGGAAGGCACTGAGATTAAGGGGGACTGGGGAAGGCTTTTGTAGAAGGTGAAACTTTAGCTGACACCTGACAGACGTCAGGGAAGTCAAGAGGCAGAGATGAGGAAGGAGAACATTGCAGGCAGAGGGGAAAGCCAGGGAAAATGACGGGAGGTGGGACATGGAGTGCCAATGGAAGGAACAGCAGAAGGCGAGGATCGATAGATCAAATAGTATGTGGAGGAGAGTAAGATGTAAGGAGACTGGAAAGGTGGGGGAGGGGCAGTTACGAAGAACTTCAAAAGACAAACAGGATCTTGTATCTTATCCTGTAGGCAAGAAGGACGGAGTGGAGTGGGGAGGGACTGGAGGCAGGCAGACCCACCCACAATGATGGCAATAAGCCAGGTGGAAGGTGACGAGGGCCTGTCCCAGACTGGGGGCAGCATCAGAGGAGAGGAGGGGGCATATTGGAGGGATATTACAAAGATGGTGAAATCTACAAGAGATGTTGCAGAGGTGAAATCTACAAGAGATGTTGCAGAGGTGAAATCTACAAGAGATGTTGCAGAAGTGAAATTCACAGTCCTTGCAACAAGTGGGATGTGGGGGGGCATGAGAGAGTGAGGCGTCCTGGATGACTCCTAGGTTGTGAGCCTGGATGATTTGGGAAGATGCAGTGCTCTGGACAGAAATAGAGAAGTTGCAAAGAGGGGGAGAGAATTCCCTTGTATCTAATTTACATATACTTGTATATTACGTACATGTTTCCTCCCCTGACTAGACTGTAAGCCATATACACACCAGTTGGGAGCCAATGGCAAAGAAGGGTGCTACTGTCTGGAACTGAATATAATCTGGCTTTGTGACCCACTTAAGGAATGATCAGCCTGCACAGAATTTTCTATTTACCTAAACTGTATCCGTTGACTGTTTTCTGGGACCTCGGAAAGTGAACTCCTCTCCAGTCTCTCTTCTCTACCTCATCATTGCCACCCTCAGGAGTTTCCTGCTCTATTTAAAACTTGTTTATTTGATGCTTATATTTTTATAAGAGATTTTTGTCTCCAGATAAAGATACATTGACTTTTGGTGCATTCTGGGTACTTTCTAAAAAGAGTGGACTACACAAGGGAGGGAAGGTCAAAATTGCCTCAGACAACCACAAGCCTGGATTCAGCTGCTTTGATCACATAGGAAACTTCCAGTGTGGAGACTCCCTCCCTAATGTACTTTCATAACTCTTCTATAAATTTATAATCTTTGAGAATTGCTTAGGGTCATGAAGGATTAATGATTTGCCCTGGGTCACATAGTTAGTATGTATAAGAGACTAGTTTTCCTACCTAGGTAGCACTCCATCCTCTAAAGTCATGCTGCTGCTTTCTCCCTCCCTCATCTCTCTCTCCTCTCTCTCTCTCTCTCTCTCTCTCTCTCTCTCTCTCTCTCTCTCTCTCTCTCTCTCTCTCCCCCTCTCTCTCCTTCTTCTCTCTACATACATGTATGCTGTAGGTGTGTATACATACATACACACATATTCTCTATAATGTGTAAGAATTAAACAATCCTTACTCATGAAAAGCTTATGTTCTTGTTCTCATCCCTATTGGTCTTACCTGTGAGTCCCCAGGTAAGTCACTTCATGTTCCTGGGCCTCAGTTTCCTTATTTATAACACAAAGGGACTGACCAACATGGCCTTAGTGATATCATTCAGCTCCAAATACACAGTCCTATGAACATGGTGTCATACACTTGCTTCCTTTCTGCTCACTATGTTTTTCTTTCTCCTGTCCTTCCCTTACCAATTCAGGAGTTCCCTTGGCAACCAAGTTCATGGTCCCTCACTGCAACCTACTCCTTTCTCTCTCCTCATTGCTGCTTTATTGCCATTGAAAAAGATCTCTTGCTGAAGTCAGCTTTCAGCAGCTTTCACCACTGCCTCAGATCTCTGGTGGCACCAATTAGCTCTTTCTTAGAGGGGTCAAATGCTCTTACCTCCCAATATTTTAAATTTATTTGGACAAAGAAGAGTGATTTAAAAATACGCATCTAGTAGTTTATTCTAAGCACCAAGACAGACACATGATTTCAGACGTCAGGCTGGGCTTGCTCTGTTGAGATGTAGACATTATGTTTCCTCATGTCCCAGTTATCAAAGGATTGTCATAGGGTCATTGATCTACACTTGGGAGGACTCTTTGTGATCATCTAGTCCATGAGTTCTTAATCTTTTTGTTATCCTGGACCCCTTGGGCAGTGTCTGGTGAAGCCTATGGGCCCCTCCTCAGAATGATCTGCTGAGTGTATAACATGTAATACATGGGATTACAAAGGAAAGCAAAGGTTAGTGGAAATAAAGATATAAGCAACTTTCAGGGGCAGCTAGGTGGCGCAGTAGATAGAGCACCGGCCCTGAAGTCAGGAGGACCTGAGTTCAAATCCGGCCTCAGAACAAACACTTGACACTTACTAGCTGTGTGACCCTGGGCAAGTCACTTAACCCCAATTGGCTAAAAAACAAAACAAAACCCAAAATAGAAAAAAATAAGATATAAGCAACTTCCTATCCATGTTCATGGGACCTCTGATATCTATGCACAGACCACAGGTTAACAGCCTCTTCTAACCCAACCCTCTCATTTTATAGAGAAGGAAGCTAAGGTCATAGAGTTTAAGTGATGTGCTTAAGGTTACACCAACATCATCAGTAATAATAGTTGCCATTTATGCAGTGATGTAAGGCTGGACAAGTGCTTCATAGATATTGTCTCTCATATATGCACACATATGTACACATATATACGTGTATCTATACCCATATATGTACAAGCATGGGGTTAAAGCCCTTCAAGTATCATGTCCCCATTTTACAGAGGAGGAACTGAGGCTCACTGAGGTAAGATGACTTGCTTAGGGCCACAGCTAGTAAGTTCCAGAAGCTGGAGTTACCCCAGGCTCACCTGTCTTCAAGTTCAGCATTTTTGCCACAGGCAACATTGTCTCTCAACAAGAGAATGGACAGTTTAGAAGCCAGGGTGGGAAAACTTAAGGAAGCAATAAGTTTCTCTGAGCCCTGGATTCCTCATGTGTAAAATGGGGATAATGATCCCTGAAGGTCTCTCAGACAGGGCGGCATGGATTCACAGCCAGTCTTTCCTGACTTAGAGCCCTGTATGCTATATACTGTACTGTACTGTCTCTCACTTGGTTAGGCAGGAACAAAAGAGCTAGATCTATATGAAATTGGAACCACTTTCATTCTGTGGGCTGAGGGTCTCTGGAAGGGTTTTTTTTTTCTTTTCTTTTTGGTGAGGTGATCAGGGTTAAGTGACTTGCCCAGGGTCACATAGATAACAAGCATCAAGTATCTGTGCTGAGATTTGAACTCGGGTCCTCCTGACTCCAAGGCCGAAGCTCTATCCACTGCACCACCGAGCTGCTCCTTCTGGCAGGGTTTTTGCTTCATATTATGACCCACTCTGGTCTTTCACAGGAACAGAGATTCTACCATTTGAAATTCAGTCCTTTGGATCTTTGGTTAAAAGTCAAATAGACCTGTAAAGGAAAACAAAAACAACTGATGAGTCAGATGCCCTGGATTCAAATTTCAAATCTACTCCTTACTAGTAATTGGATTTTGGGGAAATTATTGAATATCTCTGAGTCTCGGTTTCTTCATTCATGAAATGGGGAAAATAATTAAGGCTGGAAATGTGCTCTTCTCCTAGTGAGGCTGAGCCAGGAGCATTTGACCGGCCCAGCTAGAACAGCTCTGCTGGTGGTTCATGCAGAGGAATACTGAATTCCTTCTGCCTCAAACCCTACACCTGGTGATTGTTTGAATGGTGACAACCAATCAAAGGCTTGTTCTGATGCTGCCTCCCCACCCAAAAGAGAAAGAATAAATAACAGATGGAAAGAGGCAAGAAATTCAATCAAGCAACAAGCATGTATTAAACCTTCACTGTGTGCAAGGCCCTTCATTCTGTGCTGTGGATGAACCTCCCCACCACCAGCAAGGGCCCCACTATCCTGCCAGACACCAAGGCTTGACACCTAGGGTTCATCCTTAAGTCTTCTCTCTCTGCCCGCCTCGCAATCCAATTGGTGGTCAAGTTCTGTCTGTCATTTCTACCTTTATAACTTCTGTCATATGAGCTCCTTTCTCTCCTCTGATGCTGCCACCACGTGGGTCCAGGCCGTCATCACTACTCCTGGACTCTTGCAGTGACCTCCTGGGTAATCTTCCTGCCTCAGATCCATCCTTCACTCAGTTGCCAAATTAGTCTTCCTAAAATGTAGGTCTGATCAGCTCTTCCCATTACCTTCAGGATCAAATGGAAAATCCTCTGTCTAGCTTTTAAGGCCGGTCATAACCTGGCCCCTTCTTACCATTTTTCTAGTCTTCTTGCTCCTTGCTCCTCCAATCTCACATGCCCTAGGGACCCTGGCCTCCTGGCTGCTCCTTGAACCCAGCCCTTCATCTGCCAACTCTGAGTATTTTTCCTGGCCATTTCCCATGCTGGCCCTCTCTCCCACCTCATTTCTGTCTCGGGGCTTCCCTGCCTTCATTCCAGGCTAGCTAAAGACCCAGCGTTCCACCGTCCTCCTTAATCTTAGTGCCTCCTCTCTGAGATTCTCTCTAGTTTATCCTGTACGTATCCTAATTGTGCACACTTATTTGCACAGTGTCTTCCCCACTGGATTGTGAGTTCTTTGAGAGCAAAGACTTTGATTTTTGCCTTTCTGTGCATCCTCAGCACTTAGTGCCTGGTACATCTTAGGCTCCCGATAAGTGCATATTGACTGACTGACTGACTGAATCCCCAAAAGACCCAGAGGCAAGCCTTAAGACACACAGAGAAGGAAACAGCTCAAGTAATAAAATACACTCATTGTACTTCTCTCAGAGGGTAAAGGCCACTGTGAGGCTCTGCTGAAGAGCTATTGTTTACTTCTATTCCAAGAGAGTGCATTGCTTGGACTCCTCACAAGGTCCCTCCCCTTGCTGGCAGGGGTTGGACTTTTAAATTGCAGCAGCTGATTCTTCCTCTCCACTGAGGAGAGTTTAGGAAAAACACCTTCCTCTGGGTGGTGGGAACTGGACCTCAGGGCTCTCAACTCATGATTTTATCACTGGATCTGAAAATGTCTGTTTCTCAGGATCACTGGCTAATGATGAAACCCAACAGCAGAAGAAAGTGGTCGAGAATTCTTGCTCACCTAGGCAGACACATATTCCCAGTTGACTTGACCCCAATTCTCCATCCATCTCTTCCATAGGTTCTCCAACTTCCCTGACACTACAGAGGAACTTCTGAGGTAGGGTCTCAATGTCCAATTTGTTGACTGTCTCTTCCAAAGCACTATTTTAGTAAACCCCCAGCTGCTATGATTTACTTTGCTCTCCACTCTCCAGCCATCTTTTCTACAGCCTCACCAACCACCTTGCTGCTGCTGAGGTCCCTTTTCCTCCTTGCACCCCATTCCAGTTCTGGAACCATGAGCCATGATGAAATCAACTCTGCAAATGTTCTTGGATGGGGTGTGCCAGTCGATTCTTTCTGTGGCCCCAATTACCATCCCTGTAACTTTCTGAACCAAAGCACTCTTTGCCTCATTTCCCCTACCTATAAAATGGGTATAATAATAGCACTTTTCTTCTTCCCAAGGTTGTTGTGAGAACAAAATGAGATAATATTTGTGAAGTGTTTTGCAAACCTGAAAGTGTTATGTAAGTGCTATTATTATTTCTGGAGATCTGGTTGCTGTTATTATCACACTGTCCTTTTTTCAGTACATTCTTCCTTGCATTCTTTCCTGATAGTAATCTTCATGGTATTGGAGACATTTTTTGCTTGCTCATTTTTTTCAATCTCTCTGTTGACTTTTAAAATTAATTTATTTTTAGTTTTTAACATTCACTTCTACAAGGTTTTGAGTTCTAAATTTTCTTTCCCTCCTTCCCCTCCGCCCTCCTCAAGATGGTGTGCAATCTGATATAGGCTTTACATATACATTCCTATTAAACATATTTTCACATTAGTCATGTTGTAAAGAAGAATTAGAACCAATAGGAGGAACCACAAGAAAGAAGAAACAAAACAAAACAGAAGGAAAAAAAAAGCAAATAGTATGCTTCGATCTGCGTTCAGACTCCATCATTCTTTCTCTGGATGTGGATATCATTTTCCATCATGAGACTTCTGGATGTCTTAGATCCTTGCATTGCTGAGAAGAGCTAAGTCTATCAAAGTTAGTCCTTGCACAATGTGACTGTTACTGTGCACAATGTTCTTCTGGTTCTACTCATTTCACTCTGCATCAGTTCATGTAAGTCTCTCCAGGTTTTTCTGAAGTCCACTTGCTCATCGTTTCTTATAACACAATAGGATTCCATTACATTCATATACCACAACTTGTTCAGCCATTCCACAATTGATTTGTATCTGCTTAATTTCCAATTCTTTGCCACCACAAAAAGAGCTGCTATAAATATTTTTGTACATGTGGGTCCTTTTCCCATTTTTATAATCTCTTTGGGATACAGACCTAGAAGTGGCAATGCTGGGTCAAAGGGTTTTATAGCCCTTTGGGCATAGTTCCAAGTTGCTCTCCAGAATGGTTGGATCAGTTCACAACTCCACCAATAATGCATTAGTGTTGCAATTTCCCCCCATCTTCTTCAGCATTTATCATTTTCTCTCTGTTGATTTTAAAATCCTGCCTCAGATCCTTCCTAGCTGTGTGATCTTAGGCAAGTTGACTTACCCTCCCTGAGTCTCCTTTTTCTTATCTGCGAGCCGGGGACAAAGGTACCTATCTCACAGGATTGTTGGAGGGGTCAAATAGGGTTGTCTGTCTGTCTGTCTATCCATCTATCATCTGTATATTCTATCTGTCTGACTACATATCATCTATCTATCTATTCTCCACATATTCTATCTATCTAGTCAGTCTATTGTCTGTATATTCTGTTATCTGTATATTCTCTGTCTCCCTGTCTATCTATCTATCTATCTATCTATCTATCTATCTATCTATCCATCCATCTATCTGTCTGTTTCCACACAGATATTGTTTAGGAAGTCCTGAAGTGCAGTATAAATGTTAGCTATTACTAATTATTATTACTATTTTTTCAAGGCTTTCTTCCTGAAAGTTCCTTTCTTTCTCCTCTTCCCTCATCTTGTTCCTTTGCTTTTTCTAGCACATCCCTTCCTGTTTTGAGCTGATATCGACAGGAGCCCTGCTTAGACTCATGCACTCACCCACCTTGGTGGAGGTCCCTCATTCTCCTTTGGAATGGCTCTGATTGTGAGGAAGCTCTGATGTCCAGCTTAAAGCTGCTTCTCTGTCATATCCACCCACTAGTCCTGGTTCTACTCCTGGGGCCAAGCAGAACCAGGCTATCTTCCTTTTCTACTAGCCAGCCCTCCTAACACTTGAAAACACAGAACTGTGGAACTGAATAAAATTTCTCCCAGCCTTTTCATTCCCTTTCTCCCCATCACCATCTACTGGCCACTGAGAAGAGCCTAAACCTTGAACCCCTGCTTCTATTTTCCACTAAGTCGCTGGCCTCCATCTCTGTTTCTGCCAGGACCAAAGAATGCATTCAGTCTGCCCCAGGAAAAACCCTGGTGGAACCCTTGACATGTCCTGTGCAGACAAGCATTTGACAGCTGGTTACCCTGGCAACTAGTTCGTCTTTGAAATCATTTCTGGGCCTGTCAGACCCCCTCCTGCCTTTCTTGAACAGAGAGCTGTCCAGCATTGTCAAGGAGATTCGACAGGCAGATTAGAAGTAGCTGGAGGAGAGAGGGAGGCTGATTTCCTGGAGAGGCAGGCCACTTTGCAGGCGAGGCTCACCAAAGGGTTAAGAAGATGCTAACTTTCTGAAGTCTGAAAATAAGATGACAGCGGCATCAACAAGAACTATTTATGGCATCGCACAACTTGCTAATTTGGGGAAAGAACAACTTTGCACATCCAGGCTAGATCTGCCTGCATTTCTTCCTTCGGACTCAGCCTTCAGGTAGTAGGCAAGGCTTCTAGAAGCTGGAGCTGTGGGCCGGCCCAGCAGGGGCTTCGAGTCAGTAGCCTGAGATGAAAGGACCATGGGGATCAGTGAGGTCAACCCCATCATTTTACAGAAGAAGAAAAAAGACCATAGACTATGCCTGGCCTGCCTGCTGTCTCATAGTGAGTAAGAAAAGACCCAGGGATTTAAACCTGGGTCCTCTGACTCCAATTCCAAAGTTCTTTCTATTGTTTTATGCTTCAATAATGATGTAGGAACTGGAAAATGTGGATTTCCTGGAAAGGTTACACTCCCTAACTCCATGAAGAGGATGAGAAGTCACTAGTGACCAAGAGATCAGGCCTGGAACATCCTCTCTCCTCAATTTTGCCTCTTAGTATTATTGCTGGCTTCCTTGAAGACTCACCTTCTGCAGGAGACTTTTCCAGGATTCAAGGATATTAGTGTCTTTCTCTAAAATTACCTTCCCTCTTCCCTGAATACATCTTGTATGGGTTGATTTCTATATGTTGTGTATCCTGATTAGAATAGAAGATCCCTGAGGGCAGGGACTACCCTTTTCATTTTTTTTTCTTGTTATCTCCAATGCTTAGCATAGTGTCTGGCACATTGTAATAAAAAGCTTAACAAACACCTGTTGATTGATTCATTGGCATTTGGTCGGGGCTTGCAAGAATGGGTACAATCTCAAGATGTAGAAAGCGGTCTAGAGAACACCATGAGAAAGGCACACAGGTAAGGAAGTTTATACCACGGGCCTGTGATGTTGACAGAGCCAATTTTCTAGAGTCAAAGAGTAGTTTGGGGGTAATTGTATGGTCATAGATTTAAATTGAGAAGGTGTCTCTGAGGCTAGGACAGCTAGGTAGCACAGTGGATAGAGTACTGGGTCTGGAGTCAGGAAGACTCATCTTCCTGAGTTCAAATCTGACCTCAGACACTTACTAGCTGTGTGACCCTGAGCAAGTCACTTAACCCTGTTTGCCTCAGTTTCCTCATCTATAAAATGATCTGGAGAAGGAAATGGCAAACCACTCCAGTATCATGCCCAAATGGGGTCATGGGGAATCAAACATGACTGAAAAATGACTTAACAGCAACAGCTACTGAATGGTTGAGTGACTTCTCACACAATCAGAAGATCAGAAGTAAGACTTGAATGTAGGTTTTCCTGCCTCTGGGGTCATCTCACTATCCATTTTTCCATGCTAGGGATTATTATTACCACCATTTTATAGAAGAGGAAATTGAGGTTCAAAGAAAAGTCCAGAGACTTGCCCAGGTTCATACAGCTAGTAAGTGTCTGAGATAGGATCTGATGCCTGGTCTTCCTGTGTCCAAGTTGAGGAAGCTGTTGGAGGATTTTGAGCAAAAGAATGACATGACCAGATTTTTACATAAGGAAGATTAGTGCAAAGAAAGAGGAGGAAAACTGTGGCTGGGAGGCCAAGTAGGAGCTATTCAGTAGTCTTGGATATAAGTGTGGGAGGGCTGTGCAAAGTCACCAGCCTCACTTTCTCCTCTGGAGCCATCTGGGTGCAGTGGCCAGATATAGATCCGAACAACTGGAGATGGCCCAGAATGCAGTGGGGAGACCTTGGCCTTTTTAAGCTAAAGTCTTTCCAAATTCTCACTTTGACTGAGGCAGCACCCATTCAGCGATTAGGGCTATTTAAGAAGTGAGCCAAAGGATGGCCCCTTTAATAAAAGAAAGAAAGAAAGAAAGAAAGAAAGAAAGAAAGAAAGAAAGAAAGAAAGAAAGAAAGAAAGAAAGAAAGAAAGGAAGGAAGGAAGGAAGGAAGGAAGGAAGGAAGGAAGGAAGGAAGGAAGGAAGGAAAGAAAAGAAAAGAAAAGAAAAGAAAAGAAAAGAAAAGAAAAGAAAAGAAAAGAAAAGAAAAGAATCAAACTAGGAGGGGAAGACCCTCAGGGTTTCTGGCCAAAAGAAAAACAATTGCTATTTACATTCAGTGTGAACCATCAGGGCCCAAACGGTAACCATTAAATGGTGCTTGGTATCATCTTCCTGACGTCATGATCCTCTTTGAGAACAAAGGGCAAACCACTGTTTCAGTAGTCTAGGTGCCTGGTCACCAGGGTTTGAACCAGAGAGGTGGCAATGGAAATAGAGAGGAAGAAACCCCACTCCTGTTTTTTAGGAAAAGTTATTTTCCGAGAGCTGCTTATGGAGTTAAATGGAATCAGACTATCTGACTCAAAGAAATTGGCCTAAACTCCACCATTGCCATAATGAACTCAATGAACATTTGTTGAGCACCTTCTATATGAAAGTCCCTGTAGGAGAAATAAAGATGATCAAGACAAAGTCTGCACTCATGAGGCTTCTATTCTAGGTGTCTATATCTAAGATAAGGAAACAAATAATACAAGACAGTGTGTAGTGCCCACGATGAGAGAGGCATAAAAGTAGTAGGAATAGAGAGGCAGAAGCCATTACTTCTACCTGGCGATGGGGGAGAGGAATTGGACCTTGTTTACAGGTTGGACAATGTAGCCTCTGAGAGGCTGTGAAGCTTTATGTGTCTAGGGCAGTTATGCAGAAGAGGGAATAGACTTTTTCTGCTTTGACCCAGAAGATACAACCAGAAACAAAGGGTGAAAGCTGCAGAGAGACAGATTTGGGCTCATTATCAGGAGAAGCTCCTTTATAGTTATGCCTGCCTGAAAGTAGAGTGGGGTGCCTTGAGAGGTCATGAATCCCTCCCCCTACCCTGCCCACTTACTGGAAGTCTTCATGCCAAGGTGCCTTTTGGCAATGTTGTAGAAGGGAATCTTGGTCGAGGATACGTCGAATTAGCTAACTTCTGCGTCCTTCCACTCTTCCAAATTCCATGTATCATGTTGTCTATCAGGAGTTCAAGTCCACTGTTCATTTTCTTTCTTTCTTTCTTTTTTTAAAAATTAATTAATTATTTTTTAGTTTTCAACATTTACTTCTGCAAGATTTTGAGTTCCAAATTTTCTCCCCTTCTCTCCCCTCCCCCACCCCAAGATGGCATGCATTCTGAATAGCCCTTCCCACAATCTGCCCTCCCTTCTATCAACCCCCACTTCTCTTATCCCCTTTCCCTTCTATTTTCCTGCAGGGCAGGATAGATTTCTATACCCCATTGCCTGTATAAACATGTAAAAACAATTTTTAACATTTGTTTTAAAAACTTTGAGTTCCAAATTCTCTCCCTTCCTCCCTCTCCACCCACCCTCATTAAGAAGGCAGGCAATTCGACACAGGTTACATATGTGGTTATGCAAAACACTTCCATAATAGTCATGTTGTGAAAGACTAACTGTATTTCCCTCCATCCTATCCCATCCCCCCTTTTTTCTATTCTCTCCTTTGACTCTGTCCCTCCTCAAAAGTGTTTTGCTTCTGATTACCCCCTCCTCCAATCTGCCCTCCCTTCTATCATCCCCCCCATCCCCTTCCCCCCTATTTTCATGTAGGGTAAGAGAGATTTCCATAACCAATTGAGTATGTGTGTTATTTCCTCCTTAAGCCAAATCCAATGAGAGTAAGTTTCACTCATTCTCTCTCACCTCCCCCCTCTTCCCCTCCACTGTAAAAGCTTTTTCTTGACTCTTTTATATGAGATAATTTACTCCATTCTACCTCTCCCTTTCTCCTTCTCCAAGTACAATCCTCTCTTACCCCTGAATTTTATTTTTTAGATATCATCTCTTCATATTCAACTCACCCTGTGCCCTCTGTCTATGTATATATTCCCTCCAACTACCCTAATGCTGAGAAAGGTCTCATGAGTTACAAATATCATCTTTCCACGTAGGAATGTAAACAGTTCAACTTTAGTAAGTCCTTTATGATTTCTCTTTCCTGTTTACCTTTTCATGCTTCTCTTGAGTCTTGTATTTGAAAATATTTTTTTTTATTCAGCTCTGGTCGTTTCATCAAGAATGCTTGAAAGTCCTCTATTTCATTGAATATCCATTTTTCCCCCCCTGAAGGATTATACTCAGTTTTGCTGGTAGGTGATTTTTGGTTTTAATCCTAGCTCCTTTGACCTCCAGAATATCATATTCCAAGCCCTCTGATCCCTCAGTATAGAAGCTGTTTAATCTTGTGTTATCCTGATTGTGTTTCCACAATACTTGAAGTATTTCTTTCTGGCTGTTTGCAATATTTTCTCCTTGACCTGGGAACTCTGGAATTTGGTTATAATATTCCTAGGAGTTTTTCTTTGGGGATCTCTTTCAGGAGGTGATCAGTGGATTCTTTCCATTTCTATTTTACCCTCTGGTTCTAGAATATCAGATATCAAATATTCCTTGATAATTTCTTGAAAAATTTTGCCTAAGCTTTTTTTTTAAAATCATAGTTTTCACGTAGTCCAGTGATTTTTAAATTATCTCTCTTGGATCTATTTTCCAGGTCAGTTGTGTTTTTCCAATGAGATATTTCACGTTGTCTTCTATTTTTTTATTCTTTTGGTTTTGTTTTATGATTTATTGATTTCTCATAGAGTCATTAGCTTCCATTTGCTCCATTCTAATTTTTAAGGAATAATTTTCTTCAGTGAGCTTTTGGACTTCCTTTTCCATTTTGCCAATTCTGCTTTTTAAGGCATTCTTCTCCTCATTGGCTTTTTGGACCTCTTTTGCTATTTGGGTTCGTCTATTTTTTAAGGTGTTATTTTCTTCAGTCTTTTTTGGGTCTCCTTTAGCAAGCTGTTAACTGTTTTTCATGATTTTCTTGTACCACTCTCATTTCTCTTCCCAATTTTTCCTCTACTTCTCTTACTTGCTTTTCAAAATCCTTTTTGAGCTCTTCCATGGCCTGAGACCAATTCATATTTTTCTTGGAAGCTTTGGATGTAGGAGCTTTGACTTTGTTGTCTTCTTCTGATTGCATGTTTTGATCTTCTTTGTCACCAAAGTAAGGTTCTATAGTTTGCATTTTTTCCACTGTTTGCTCATGTTCCCAGCCAATTACTTGACTTTTTAATGCTTTGTTCAGGTAGGGCTCTGCTTCCAGTGTGGAGGGTATACTGTTCCAAGCTTTAGGGGTTTTGTGCACCTGTTTTCAGAGATACTTCTAGGTACCTGCAAATTTTCAGTTCTTCCAAGGTGGTATGATCAAAGGAGAGGTGTTTACCCCTTTCCTGACCTGTATTCTGGTCTATGAGTGACCACAAGAACTCTTTTCTGCCTTGGAACTGTGAGGAGCATTCTCTCTGTACTGCCATAAGCTCCATCATGGCAGTGCTTCTCCTTGCCCCAGGACCGCCACCCAGAACTGTGACCCAGATCCAAGCACAAGTAAAGCTAGAGAATCCTGCCTTAGTGCCAGCAAACAGATCCCTGCAATCTCCCTCTGATCAGCCACTCACTCCCTGCACTGTCTGTGGGCCAGCACTCCAGAAGCAGCCACTGCTGCTGTGGCTGCCACCCCATGGTTGCACTAGGGCCAGGGCTGGACCATGCTCCTCTCTCACCCAGGTCCAACAGACCTTTCCCACTGACCTTTTGAGTTGTCTTTGGTGTTTGTGGGTTGAGAAGTCTGGAAACCACCACAGCTGCCTGTGATTCAGTCCCCTGAGACCTGCTCCATCTTTGCCTGTGCAGCCCACAATGAATTGTGTTTCTCTCCTAGCCCAGTACAATAGACTTTTCCCATCAACTATCCAGGTTGTCTTGGGCTGGAAATTTACTTCACTCTTTCTTTAGAATTCTCTAGAATTTGTTTAGAATCTTTTTTTTTACAGGTATTTGGAGAAATTTGAGGGAGAGCTCAAGCAAGTCACTGTTTTTACTCCGCCATCTTGACTCTGCCCTCCTG